CAAACAAACTCAGGTGAAGGGAAGACTTCCTACGCGGATCTACCACTAACGCAGAGTTGAATTTTTGTCTGGAACCATTGGACTCGCAAAACTAGATGGAAGCAAAGGCGGGAGGTAAGATAAAACGTTTCGAACGAACATACCACCATGCAAAAATGCAATAGACACCGCAAAAGTGAGAAGCAACCGCATACCGTCAACCTGAAATACACTACAATGGTTTCAAGGAAATAAAGATTTCTAATGATTTAACTAAATGATTGCTTAACTTTACATCGTTCAAAATTTTGTCTCCAATTATGCAAATAATTTTTAAAGCATATATTCAAATCACTTTAAAAATTATTCAATGTTTGAAAACAGTTCTTTATGTAACTATTCAAAAAGTGCTGGTGCAGTTTGTGACATGCTTCTTATTCACGGTCACCTACCGCATGTAAACAATGTGTGAATTTTATAATGATCTTTGGGATCAGTTGACATGAGTGACTAATTCGTGACGTTACTCAAGAAACAACATATGTATTGAGTAATTTACTACGTTTTTGAGACTCTCTCTGTTCCACTTTATTCATGTTTTCTCCAAGTTTGAGCAGAACTTTCACAATTTTTTTTGCGAAAGACCTGCGTAGCACTGATTCTTTCAGAGATGACCCTCAGTCAAGTTTCTCCTTGCATCAATTCGTTCCGCCGCGATGAAATTATTCAAAAATTTGAATTCGTTCGGAAATGTCACACGTGAATACTCAATTTTCTTGAGTATGCAAATTATCTACCTGAATACGAAAGAGTCCAGTGTTCAGTTTCACTTTGTTTCGGAGGCAATCAAGATGGATGGTAGCGTGTTTATTGGCGCATTACTTCTTTACAGTGTTCCGTCTTCCGCAGATGAGAGGGGTGATTTTGGTGAGTTCTGTGGTGATTGTTTATGGTAGTATTCGTTCTCATGATTAGTGTTTTAGTTATCAGCTCCTCTTCATTATGGCCTATCTTCCGTTCCATCTCGTACACTTCCACCTAAT